ATCCAGATGCCATCCTCAGCACACACACACACACACACTCACACACACACGTAGACACACACACACACAGGAGGTTTTATAGCTTTCTAGTCTTTTTTCAGTCCTTACTTTTCCTGGCCCTTCTCCGTCTGCCCGCCCTTTTTTGTCCTTCTTTCCTTTTATTGGGATTCTGTTCCCTCTTTCCCATTTTCTCTCTTCCTATGTTGGCTACTTCCTCTTCTCTCTTTTCTCCCACTTCAATTCTTCTCCTTTTTGTTTTACTCATTCCCTTTTTCACCTTTGTCTCTTTTGTCATTCTCTCCTCTTATACCTTTCGTCCATTGCTTCCTGCCTGCCTCACTCCTCTTAAGTATTTTCTTCTTTCTCTCTCTCTCTCTCTCTCTCTCTCTTTGAAGTGTTCTCTCCTAGTTTGGGTAACATGGATCCCTCTAGACTCCAGACAGGCTGCTGAAAATTTTACTGAGACGCTTCATTGATTGCAAGCCCATCGACTTCCAAAGACACAAGGATCACTAAGCCTCTGTTTGTCTCTATAACTCTGTCCACATGGAGGAGAGGCTGGTTTTCAATTTCACATACATCCTTCAGCCAAGTTTTCTGCTGGAGTTTTGTCTTGAGTTTGTACCCCGCGCAACTCCCACTTTAACAATTAGGTTGAGACTAGCTTACTGTGTTCAGTGCTATACAAGTTTAAAATTGTCTTTCATTAACATACACTGAGTAGTATTATTTTGTTATGTGTTATAGCATTTGGGGGGGGACCACCTTCACATGTTAAAGTGCACCGGTACATTTTTACACCAAAATCTATTCATACTGAAACACCACAAAGAATCTTCTAAGTATAAATGCTGCCTTTGCACCACCAACACAGTCGGCAGAACAATGGCAGAGAGAACCGAAGAGTTGCGGAGTCATACCTCAAAACTTTAGCCGAGAATTGTTAACGAAACAGAGAGAAACTGTATTTGTGATTCAATATCCCTGTTTGTCAGCGCTGTTGCCAGTTTCAAACGCACACCTTCAGACTGTAAAACAATGTGGCATGATTTGAAGCAGAGGACAAAAGACAAAATATCATTCAATGCTGCCACGATCGCTGGAAAGTCTGGCCGTGACGCCTCTTATGAATGCACTTCAGTAACCCCCACCTCTCTGAAGACGCTAATAGTTTCCCTGTAGCTGCGTGTGGCTATCAGCGCTAACCTTTTTGATTTGGCAATGACCCTCATTTGCATAGAAACGGGACAATTTTTATGCAAAATGTCTGCATATTGCCTAATTAAAATAGGTGCAAATAGCACAGGTGCACAGAGACGTCATTTGCTTGACAGTGCCGTTAGGGGTGCACGGCAACCTCTGCGGGTGCTTTGAGAATGACGTGTTTTCTTTTCTTTAGTTGTGCAGATTTAGCAGCCTTGCAATTCTTTTGTGAATTTGCACCTTTATGTTTGAAGTATTCAATGACAATCGGCAGGGGGGTTTCCATGTTAACACACACAATCTTTCATCCTATATGCCTAAATACAGCAAAAGTAAAGAGTAAACTTACTAAAAAATAGTTTAGCAAAAACTATTTTTAGAACGGGAAGACGATTTTCGTCTTCTATCCAGAGTTCTGGATGTTTCCAGTTTTGCAAACCTGCCGCACGCCCCCAAGGTGTTTGATGAAAAAGGACATAAGACATACATCTGGTTTAATAAATATAGAGAGGAGGAGCAGAGTATTCTTTTATTTAGAGATTCATTTACATTAACTTTAACATTAAGTTTGCAAAATTGTAACCGGTGCCTGTATCCATGCTAGCAGCAGCAGCATGCCTTTTTTTTTTTACTCTGTCACATTTTCTCCTCACTTTTCAATATTTAATCATGAAAATAGACGCACTTAACCTCGTGCTACAGTCAAAGCTGTAAGTGCTATGCAAATAATCCGTTACTGAGCGCGCCAGGTCAAAACATTGTTCATCGTTCCTGTGCCCGGGGCACGTCTGACGTATCAGAGATGCCATAATCGTTGCCATAATCCTGAATCCGTACACTGCTCTGATGGATGAAGATAAACACTTCTCCATATCACCTGCTCCATCTGAAAGGTTGTGTTTGGAGAAAACTGCCCCTTTAAGAAATCGTGTTTCAGCTCTGTTGAGTGTGGCAGCTTTTCGATCAAGCTGACCTGTTTTCCAGCCGCCCACCCCCCCCCCCCCCCCCTGTGGATGACACACACATACGCTGTATATCTGGTATTATGTATCATTCAGCCGCAAATTAGGTTGTGGAGATCCGACTGGGCCTTAAAGAGAATTTGACAAGATTAAAGATCCACCCCGATGAGTAATTGATGGAGAGAGAAAAATGGAGAACACACACTAACAAACTTCCACCCATTTTTAAAGGCCAATCAATGTCTCGGCTGACAAGGATTACACATAATGTGCTTATTAATCATGAATTGTGCCGAATATCGATGTGTGTATCTGACAGAGGATGATATGTCGTTGATTTGTCAAGAAGGTCGGCTGCGTTTGTTGGAATGTCCTTGTGGTTGTGCTTGTGAACAGCATTCCTTCATTTTAGTTTATTTTCATTTAAGAGCAGCTGAAGAGACTGGATTTATTTTTGATTGATGAAGACTTACACTTACACCAGGTGGACAAAAAACATGACCCCAAACGAATGCTAACGCTGTCTCCTAATGCGTTAAATTAACTCACTGTTTCAGTGTTTCGCACTAAAATGCTGTGTGTGTCCCTGAGGCCTTTTAAACGTGTTGAATGTGTGCTATAAGAAAGCACTGGCTGAGATGCCGTTGTATGTATACTTCCTGGTTGTGCGAGGGGAAAATGCTGTTTTTGTCAGTGGAGTTCGGTGACTTTGAAGAAAGCAACATAACGGCTTCATTCATATATATTCATATATATATAAATAATATGTATATATACTGTATACATCACAGGTCACATGGGAACACTTTTTTTAGGCAATGGGAAAAGATAAAAGATGAATCAATAACGAAAATAATAATACAAATGTAAAGGGCGGGTCCATTTATTGTTTCAATTTAGGTTATTGTATAATTCTGTAGCTCCCCAGTGGTGTTCCTCATATATTCATCCGTATATTTATATAAAGAATATCTGCTCATTATTGTGATTGAAGTGCATCTCTCCATGTCTCACTGAGCTCTAAATTTTGCTCCCAAAGTACTGAATATTGACTCTTTATCTCAAAACTTGTAACTGTGGGACTAGCACACTGGGTGAGTCTGTAAAACA